TCGTCTCCCAGCATTTCTTGCACCCACGGTGAATCACAACATTGAGAACACTCCCAGAACTGAGATTCAGGCTGTGTTTCTTCGGTGTCTTCCCAGGGTAACTCCGAAGTAATTCCAGCATTTTTTGATTCTAATAAGGTGTTGTTTGGCGCCAGCTGCATTATTCATTTCGCGGAATATCAGTTTGTGGCAGAGACGGGGAGATTTTACTCCCTGGACTCCAATTGCGCGGACTCAAAAATGCATGCCAAGCTGAAGTTGGACGTGCCGTCAGGTTTGAGAGAATGTTCCGACAACTTTTTGTTGTTGTCAAGAAACAGGGGGAAATCCCATGACTGTCACCACGTGAGGAGGTGAAAGTTTCTACCTGACGTAAAATCCCCGGTGAGGGCTGTTACCCTACTATTTGCCGACGGAGCTGCGAACGTTTCCCTGCAAATAGACCTTTCGATTGCTCCATTCCTTTCACCAAGAGTACATAACCCCCCAGAGTGTGCAACTCCACTATGGGTGCTGTCCCGACAGAATTTCAAGTTGACGTCATTTTGATGAAGCAATGCGCACTGTACACGGATTATCAGACGAATCCGGAACCTGTGGTTGACCGAAGCCGATCGATCCTGTACAAATTATTGCAAAGAAAAACGTGTGATGCGTTGACACCCGTACACATGTTGTAAATCACTGCTGCAAGGAGCATTGCGTCATAAATAATGACGTCAACTTGAAATTCTGTCGGGACAACAGGGTATGTGGGAGTTGCACACTCTGGGGGGTTATGTACTCTTGCTTTCACGGAAAGCCGAGTTTCGATCATTTTAGCGTCCGCAGTATGCAATGCACAGTAATACGGATCTTGTTGGAAGTGTTGGGGTGGTAGAGGTAATCGGCACCCATCAGAGCATATGTCACATTCAGGTGTTTGCATTGGGGTAATATTTTGGTGCAATACTTTAATAATTAAACTGCAGCTATGGAACGCGCTACACTCACCCCTGGTCGGCGGAGCTTAATGGGCCCCACCACCACACTCCATCATTCACCCCAGTGTCTGGAGATATGTGGATTTTGTAGAAAAAACTCCAGCTCCTTGACTTTACCCAAGAGCGACGATTTTGAAGAAGAAAAAAGGCCTTGCTGTCATACATCCCGTTCTATGGTACCGTGGGAGTAAAAGCCAAAGAACAACTCATCTTGTTCCTTTAATTTTGTGTGACAGGTTTTTTTAAGATAAGCTTTTATCCCCATTCTAGTGTTATACTAATATCAAGAGAACATAACCCCCAGCGTGTGCAACTCCCACATACCCTGCTGTCCCGACAGAACTTCAAGTTTGGCGTCATTATTTATGACGCAATGCTCCTTGCGCCAGTGATTTACAACATGTGTACGGGTGTCAACGCATTACACGTTTTTTTCTTTGAAATAATTTGTACAGGATCAGATCGGCTTCGGTCAACCACAGGTTCTGGATTCGTCTGATAATCCGTGTACAGTGCGCATTGCATCATCAAAATGAAATTCTGTCGGGACAGCACCCATAGTCGAGTTGCACACTCTGAGGGGTTATGTACTCTTGCTAATAGAGACTGCATAAGAGTAATCCAATATTGACTTTTATTGTCTTTTTCTGCACAGAGTCCTGTGGGAGCGGTGTTCTTGCACCGGACATGCGTTGTGTATGTAACCGCACTATGTCCTACGGTGAAGAATGTGAAAAGGGTAAGACAGCAAGCCATTAGGTTTGTGTGCATGTGTGTGTGTGTGTGCATGTGTGTGTGCATGTGTGTGTGTGTATGTGTGTATATGTGTGTATACTGTTGATGTGTGTGTATGTGTCTGTATGGGCGCATATGCGTATCTGTATGTGCGTGTATGTGCGTGTTTGTGTGTGTATGTGCGTGTATGTGTGTGTGTGTGTAAGCTATTACAGTGGGCAAAGCCACCTGTCCGGTTGGTCCTGCTTTCACTGGACCACTTTTCGGGCCAATGTTTCCTTTTCTCTTTCTAGAGAGCTGATAGGAGTTCAGTACTATGTGCATTATGTACACAGCACTGACTAGGGAGACCTGCATGTACTGTGCCTTATATGTAGGGCTCTCAGGGACAGACTGGCGGCACAGGTTTTTTTTTTTTGCTTCATGTTGATCGAGTGTCAGAGATGGCTGCAAAAAACTTGAAGGCGTCTGTTCCTGAGCTTTCTTATATTCCCATAGCCAGCAATGTTTTTAGTTTCCAAAACAATTGTGCGAGGAAACGAAGCCTGTAATGTGCGCTTGTAAGCCCTAACGGTTCACCATCTGGGCTTTCCTGGATTATGATAAGGGTGCAGATTCAGTGCTTTGCCACATGACTGTCTATGCTTCCGGCCACAAACGCCACATTGGAGAGGTCATTCAGTGCATTTCGCCACCTGAAGACGTCACAAGGCCAGAAGGTTCTAGAATTTTGTCGGCAACCGGTTTTCGTAGATTGCTTATTGGTTAATGACCTAGAGACCATGGCTGCCGGTTGCCGAACTTTTGTTCCCTTCCTCTCTTCTTTCTTGTTGCTTCTTTACACTCTTTGCGTTCCAAGTGTGTATATTTCTTCCCTGACGATTCTTTATGTGAAACTACAAAGTGAGTGCTTTGACTTGAGTTTGTGCGTGATTGCCTCCGAGGGCCAGCAATTACTGCACAGTGACCTCCCGTGCATTATTTCTGTGTCACCCAATCCATGTACGTGCCTTTTTCGCTGGCTGTTGCAGCATGCAAGTGCTTGAACCGGGGTGAGTGTGATGACAAAGGTGAATGCAGCTGCCCTAGAGGATTCACCGGCCGCCATTGTCAACTCGGTAAGTAGAAGTGAATTCGTTTTACTCATTTCATATAGTCGGCGTGGGATTTTCAGAGCGTACATCCATGTAAAAGTGGGGTCCCCTTTACTTTTACATGCACGAGCAGGCTCCGCGATAGGTTTAACAGGGGTGACGGAGAACTAGGACATGTATACTGGTCTTTTTGGGTGCTCGCTTGAAATAGGAGTCTAGGGGTGAGACGAATATTCTACATTGTACCGAATATTCTCTAGACGAATTGAATATGTATCTCCGAAGTAGCACTAACCTCTTCTTCGAATTGGATACCAAATATTCTATAATTTGCCTGTTCTCACGTGGCTGTAGCATATGTAGACAGGTCTTTCTGGTTCAGCCTTGTGAGCCATAGTCCCCTTTCCCAGCTAGCCAACCACCGCATTCTACTGCCATGTACTTGAGGTTATCCTAATAGAGAGGTTCGGCACTACGTAAAGCTGAGCAACTTTACCTTAGTGGTGCAAATTTACGACTCTCTACCCAGGTCGACCCGGTCATACACTGCCGCGTTCCAAGCTGCCAAGGGCAGGTACATGATTCGAAAACTCCGTACGGCGGAACACAGGTCCGCATGCAGTGTGACTTTCCGTGCATCGACTATGCTTTTTTGCTCGCGTAATTATGTTATGCGGAACCTCTCTAATGTTGTAAGCAGGGAGTCGTAAAATATCGGTATTTTACGACTCCCTGGTTGTAAGCTATAACCTCACACTGACTCAGTCAATGACTGCAGTATTACTTGCACATGCAAAGTGTCCAAAACCAAACACAATGTATTCAGATCTGAACCGAATGCTTCGAGTTGTTCTCCAAACGAACAATTCCAGAATATTCAGAATTTGTTTCACTCCTAAATGACACAACAACAACAAAAAAGCACGAACAGTTCTCCGGCCACACTCCAAAATAGCAATTTGTGGCACTCCTGAACTGTGAACTGTTCGTGCTGTCGTCTGCAAGTGCTCTGGTTTGGTCTAGTCTTGTCAAATGAAAAACCTATTACCACCCTTTGTCTTTGAGTTTGTCATGTCACGCTGTGCTTCTGTCGTCATTTTGTTTGTTAGCAAAGTTTCAATTGTCTGAGTGTGCCGAAGGGCTGAGAGCAGTGATGATAATTGACGCTATCTACTGATTGCACTGATTTGTAAACTGCTGCTTGTCATTCCTGCTTTATTATATAAACAGTGCCTACCTTCCAGCAGCAATTCTATCTTTTGGAAGAAGGCCATTATGATCGAAACCCAGATTTATCCATAAGTTAGTTTCCCTGGCCCAGCCTCTTTTACTTTATATTATAGTATTGTCTTTAGTCTGCCTGACTCCGTTACCGGCTGATTCACTCTCTCGTGTTCTTTCTCTTCGGTGTGTGCTATGTGATGGATGCAGTTGTGTGCGCGAAACCCTGGGTGAAAAAGAGCAAAGTGTGTGAATGTCAACCTGGACTAGATGGACGCAACTGCACAGAAGGTAAGGGCTAAAGAAAGCTACTGCAATAAGCCCGCGTGTCAAATAATGTATGACCCACGGGTTCATGCATGCTGGAATGGTGTATTCGGAGTCGAGAAGAAGAAAAAAACTTCCGTGTCCTCATGCCAGCTCCTCCAACCTATTCTACCTATATATTCTATTCATGTGGAATAAATAATGCATATTTATGGGGACTTGGTCACTCTCATGAGTTGTGCTATTGTAGCAAGAAGGACCCATGAGTGTGTGTGATCCCCGGTAGCCTAATCGGTAGGGCACTGTCCCGGAAAGACAGGGGTGCTGGGTTCGAATCCCGCTCGTGGATCCTTCTTTTGCAACATTGGCGCCTGGCAATGGCTCGAACCCACGACCCATCGTACCCCCCGCGAGCTAGGTACGACGTGAGGACACAGCCTGTTGGGGCGGGGGAGCAGTGTAGCAAGAAGGACCCATGAGTGTGTGTGATCCCCGGTAGCCTAATCGGTAGGGCACTGTCCCGGAAAGACAGGGGTGCTGGGTTCGAATCCCGCTCGTGGATCCTTCTTTTGCAACATATTTTGTTAAGAGTTAATTTGATGTCTCCATTTGATGATGTTCAAGGACATGTCAAGAATCCGCTTTTCTGTCCCTCTCTTTGTGCTTTTTTGGAAAATGCGTGAATGTTCCCAATCACTGCTGCAGCATGCAATTGCTTGAATGACGGCCAGTGCACTGACGATGGCAGTTGCAACTGCCAGAACGGTTTCCACGGAGACCAGTGTCAGCACAGTGAGTATAATTATGCTGTATGAAGTGAATTCCAGTTTGGTGGCATATTTCTGTGAAATGTGGGAATACCTGTACACATTAACGGGGCGTTCGTTTTTGATATACAGGTTTGAGTAGAAACTATTTCTTTTGGTAGAGGCGTTCGTTTCTTCTACTCAAAAGGGTGGATTCTACTTTCCTCTACCGGCTCTACCAGGAAAAAGTTGGTGGAAGCCGGTAGAAGTTGGTAGAGCTACGGGATTTCCGGCAAGATCAAGGATTTGTACACAACTCCATACAGAAGAGAAACATTTCACGTACATATCGTGTAAACTACTAAATCCGGTAGAATAGCATTTGTCCACTTACCTCTACCTTCTACCTCTATCGGTAGAGTGACTCTACTTTACCAGGTAGCTAAAATCTAACGCAGTTTTTAGCTGAGAGCTATTAGAATGGATATGCTAAGGTCTGATCCTTCCAACAAGGCCAAGATGATGAAAGTCTATGAAGGTGAAATGAGAAGACAAAATGGAATGTTTCGTTCTGAACTGTGGGTAAAACGATACCCGGAGAGAAAGTGCGCTGGAAAGTCAGTTTGCTGGAGGAAGTGGAGCTAAATGGCCGAGTGGTATTTGCATAGGTATATATTATATTTTCAATTGAACTATGGTACCGCTGCCTAGGAAGTGTACATCTTGTTGATGTGTGATTTCTACTTCACCTGACTGTGTCTTGCATTTGTACTGTGTTATGTTCAGTTTTCAAGACAAAGTGCCTGGGTACAGATAACGCAACGTACACCTGGATGGCTCTCGCCAGCTTGCCGTGTCATCCACACCTCGACGGTGACAGCTGCCAGAAGAAAACGAACTTGACGCATGCCCGCCAGATGTGCAAGAGAAGAGGATACGACGTGGTAGACCATAATGCCTTCACCAATCAGACGCTTGGCGTGCGCGACTGCATGGGAGCATTGCTCAACAAGATAGTGACGAGCGGTTACAGAAACCCTACTTCAATATGGACATCGTTCAAGAAGGATGACCAACATCTCATATACCAGCAGGGCAAGAACAAGTTGCCTAAAGAATTGTATGATAGTGATGGAACAAGCCATCATGATGTCATCTGCGAAGGTAGGCTGTTGCATTGTGATCAAATGAACGCGTCAGAGCAAATGATAGGGTAGGAAGTAATACCAAGAGTACATAACCCCCCAGAGTGTGCAACGCCTGATGCAACTCTGCATAGGGTCTTGGTCGAGCGGAATCGAATCTTCTGATGTCATGCGTACACTCCCCACCAGCGCAAGGCTGGTCTCGAGGCAGGGCACCAGTGTTTTTGATCCAAGACTACCCGCGACTCCCCGGGTTCCCCTCAGATGTGTACGGTATTATGACGCAAAGATCCGATTGCGCTCGACCAATACCCCATGCAGAGCTGGATCAGGCGTTGCACACTCTGGGGGGGGGGGGTTATGTACTCTTGGTACTACTATACATGGTTAGCATTTTAAAGTTCACACTAAGGCAAAACAAACTTGAAAGGCAACTACAACCGGAGAAGAAGCTTCGAAGACAGCCAAAAAATCAATCATGGACGTGGGGACCGCCGTGTAATGTGCAAAATCACACGTAGACCTCCATGTACATCACCACGCCCTTTCGTAATCACTGACATGCCAAAATCCATTCGAATCAAAACAATATACGAAATTCATTGTGTAGTCCTGTCAGGTTTCCATTGGGCTTTGCAACAATCTCTGGCTGCTCCAGCCTCTGGGGTTGGAGTGGTCAGAACATGTTCTGAACACTCCGAAACCAGAGCAGACCAGTGCAGACCAATCAAACGGCCCTGTTCTAAACGATCCTGTTCCGGATCCGACCAATCAAACGCGCCCTAAGAGACTACAACTATAAAGATACGAAGTTCATTTGTTCATCACATTATGTCGGCGTCATACGGTTTATTCATAGCTTGGTTAAAACTTCTTTCTCCGGCACTGCTTTAAGTGTAGTTGCGCTCGGTGAAAATAGACCCAAAATGCAAAGCTGGCTGCCCTGGACCAGTTCCGCTTTCATCATTGAATTTGTACATGCGTATGTGGCCGCATTCCTCCCACTTCCACGGCGTCAATGGTCGCGCAAATTGAGGGCACTAAATCTGCACTAAATCGCAACAGTGGCGTACCGCTGGTCACTGAGGTCTGCCCAGCCACAGCCCGGCAAGTACTCAGGGTAGGGCTGAAACGATCACTGAAAAGCGGTTATCGATTACCTTATTTTTTGTTCATTGCACTGACACTGCCATCAGACAATGTTTCATTGAGTATGACTATAGAGTCCAGGGCACCCGTTATTCGAGTATTTCATTACTATTGTGCCTATTCTCTGCCCACTACTGTATGTGCCCTTGTCCTGCAGCCAAGTGGCTCCGTTACAACGACTCTGTATACGCCGCAGCCACGCCATCACTGAAACCCAGCGTGACTGAGCAATTCGCAGAGGAGGCATGTCAGGAGTACGGACTTCACCTCATAACCAAGGACTGGCTGCACGCACATGGCCATGTATTAAGAAAGCGCTGGCTAGATAGATTGGCTCTTCGGCATGCATCTTACCACGTCAAACGAATCCGAGTGAATGGCAACTCCCATTACAGAACTGTAACGTTCAGAAATCACAGTAATCAGCTTCAAAATTCCACAATCAATCGCCACGCCAAAATCCTCTGTGTCAGTAAGTGATAATGATAATTTAGAGTGGTTTTAACAATGGCTGCCCCTGTGGAAGCAATATTTTATTCCTCTGTGTCCGCAACCAACATAACGAAATAGCATATTATGTTGGTTGCGGACACAGAGGAATAAAACATTGCTTCATTTGCGCCATTACTTTGCCTTATATGTGAAAGACCTCATCCCAACAAATGTTTCAAGAAGATTCTCAACCAAAAGCACTTTTGCAGAGCGATTTCTTGGGTACTACCGGCCGGTGAGAAGGCATGCAATCTGTCGTTATGAAAATGCCTTGAGTGTGAACAGGTTTCGTCCAAACATATCTGTGCCATCATGACTTATACCAATATGCATTGTGGCAACGCAGATTGGAACAACAGTACTTGTGCCAGTATATGATATGCCAACATCCGCGATGCCAATGTCTGCTGTGCCCAAACGTCCTTTACAAACAAATCTTGGGTCAACATGTCCGGTCCCCATATGTCCTATCCCAGCATGTTCTGTCCCAACATGTCCTGTCCCAACATGTCCTGTCCAAACATGTCCTGTCCCAACATGTCCTGTGCCAACATGTCCTGTGCGAACATATCTGTGCCAACGTGAACTGTGCCAACATGTCGTTTACTAGCTTAACCGCACACACCCGTTTTCCACAAATAATATCCGGATAGGCGAGAGACCCGGATAATCGAACACACCTACTGCTGTCCGTATGCACTAGATATGCTGTAAATCGGTAACCAACGATTTTCTTCCGGATGACGAGGGATCCGGATAAAAGAGGACCGGATAAGCGAGGTCTGACTGTAACAGCAATATATTCAAACGTTGGCACTACTTCATGAACGGAGATTTGGGTTGTGTTTTTGTTTCTGGGAGAAAAGAATCCTGTGCTATTCACCTTCTAGACGTAGAATTATGTGATACTACGGGCTCAGAGCCTTACCAAGAGTATGACCTACACTAGGCTACAGCGCTGGCTTAGCAGAAAATGAGTTAACTTAAATCGACAATGACAAGATAACTCGTCACGCACATGAAGCATGGACCACTGTACAAACTGCTTTACATTCGGTGGTGGAAGAAGTGGCAACATACATGTATTGTGTGTATTTGCCGAACGCTTGCTGAGCTGACTGGGTGCTGACGTTGGATCAGGAATATCTGATTAGCGATGGACCTGCAGCCTCCACTGATATGGACCATTCAAATCAACACCCACAGTCCGACATGCCCTGATAAAAAAATTTCACCGTACTTTCCACTCAATTCAGTGTGTTGTGATGCCGCGAGTGTAGCGAACTGTGAACGAGTGATGCAATGGAGCCTTTTGTGTTGTCTTTTCTGCGCAGAGCACTGTGCTAACGGCGTTCTTGCCCAGGACCTGAGTTGCAAGTGCAACCGCTCTGTCTTCTATGGCGAATACTGTGAAAAGGGTAAGACTGCAGGATAAAACTGTCTAGGTCTGTGTGGATTGTACATGTAGGACTATGGTAAAAAAAAGCTGGTAAACGGGGTATATGTCTATATTTCAGGACCAACAAAATCCGCGTGTGGCTTATACTCGAGGGCAGCTTAATTAAGGCCGATTCACAACACCACTTTCTGCGACGCGATTTGCGACAGTTGCGACTAGAGACTGCCTGTCTAGAGCTGTCGCGTACAGTCGCAAGGCACCTGTCGCAGAAGTTGAAGAAAGTTCAACTTTTGCGACATGTGACGTTCTACATACACAAATGGAGTACAGTTTCTACCCTGGGTGCACATGCAGTGCACGTGCATAGTACTACTAGTGCATAAGGATGTCGCAAACATGAAAAAAAGATTGTGAACCGTGTGTCGCTGTCGCAGCTCGTCGCAGGTGTCACAAGCCGCATGTCGCGTTGCAAGAAGTTGTTTTGTCAATCGGCCTTTAATCGCTTTATACGCAAATGCGGATTTTACTCTGGAAAATACTGTACCTGACCATGTGCTGATATCACGACCGAATTTCCACACCCAGATTTTTTGACACGAAATGCAGCTACCTACCCTATAGTTTGGAAGCTTGCACATCATTGTGAACCTGATGAAGGCAATTTGCCGAAACGTTGGAATAATTGTTGTGAAATGAGTTGAACTATTGCAGTGTTAATGGAAGAGAGCGTGTGGGCTCTACTCTCAACTCTACTCTCAACTGTTTATGAAACTGTTTATGAAACTGCAGGAAGCCTCCCCACTTTTACTACCCTATCTATCGCCGTTAATTAATTTGACCATCGCAGAATAAGCCGCACCCCCTAATTGTTTTGGTTGAACTAGTGATGTGTGGCTTTTATACTCTGGGAAGTCTGGTGCTTGGACAGTCTGGCTCCTATACTGATAACTTGTGTGTGGTTGAATTTCTCCCTTCATGCTTCTCATTGCATAGCATGCCGTGATGCTTTTCCTTGCCATTCCCTGATCTTGTTGCGCATGCATGAATATATCGTATCTCTACAGACGACTGCAAGTGCTTGAACCAGGGTCAGTGCGACAACAATGGTAAATGCACCTGCCCGATAAGATTCTACGGAGAACATTGCCAACTCGGTAGGTAGCAAGACATTCTTTTTGTCAATGCAAACAGTTATTTTCGCTGATTGCATATGAGGCTGAGGTTGTGATTGTTTCTTCAGACCCTGATCAAGATCCAGATCCACTACTACTATATCATTCCGTTTGAATGTGGTGGATCTTCCCCCAGTGCACCTGGGGTGTTGTGTAAACTGGATGTTTAGAAAAAACTGCTTTGACGTGTCGCACCCAATGATGATCATGAATCATGTACTAACCATGCTGTGCTGTTCTGCTGCTATTTGTTGTGCACTGACACAATATGTACGTCATGCACTGCACATAATAACTGCTGCAGAGTGCAAAACATGTCTGAATCAGGGTCGTTGTAATGAAGACGGCACCTGCACCTGCGCTGAAGGATGGATTGGTGACCGGTGCCAGACCCGTAAGTGTCTACGTAATGAAGTGAATACGCTGCATTCCTTTGCTGTGTGTACTGCATGTTGCAGTTACATTTCTTTCGCGTTGTAAATCTATGTGCGGTGAAACACGGTGTGCGGTGAAAAACTACCAGAACCAAAACCCCTACCGCACTATACTACTCGTGTGTTCAGATTATAGTCCACATTTTAAACACTCCTAATTTGCACCCTCCCCCCCCCCCCCAAAAGGTCTGTGCTGCTCACACTCCGGTGGTTAAATAAACCGCGACGTACAGGGTGGATGGGTATAACCTGGGTACGGCTAATAATCAGGTACGGCGATTGTAGTAGTTGATTGCCTGTCGTTGGTTGGAGTAGTTAGGCCAACTTGCATGCATGAATGCCGGTCATCGGCCCCAGCAACTTCTGGTCTCCTGGCTTGTTGCAAAATGCCCATTTTGTGTCACCGGGAAACATAAGCAGGATAACAGATAACAGCGGATTTTGAGAAGTGGAGTGTCCCTGCCTCATTAATATCATCAAGAGTCCATAATCCCCCAGAGTGCTCAACTGGGATTGGGTTGTGGGCCGGCGTAATCCGTGATGTACGTCATTTTTTGGGTCGGACTTGCGTCATTGCATCGACGCGGTCAACTACGGTCCACACTTCCCCTACTCATGATGTCACACTATGATGTCACACTATGACGTGCAACACGGATTTTGCCGTCCCAGATCTGATCAGTGAAGTTGCGCGTTCTAGAGGATTATGGATCCTTGATATAATGGTTTGACCTTGCTTGCAGCCGCCGTGAATGGTTTGTCGATGATGTAAGCCGAGTAGATTTATGTCAGGGAAATGCAAATTTTCCACTGGTCGAGTGGAGTGAAGAAATTAAGCTTTCTCCAGTGGTCACTAGAACTAGTTGCAACTGCACTACGGACACACTACATCACCTGATGTGAGTTTTCGCCAGCACACCCCATAGAACAGGTAGTCAGGCCGTCGTAGATGTTGGATGGGATGTGTTCTGGTCCAATGGATTGAAATAATCAGCTCCTACTCAAGCCCGTCCAGCATCTCGACATAAAGAACAGTATTGGCTGTGGATTTACAAGCCAAAAGTCTGCTCCATCTGTCATGCCGAGCCCCTCAAAGACCGTGAAAGTCCCTAAATAGTACCTCCCATCATTTTTTTCTCGATGTCTGCTGCGGGCATAATTGGCATGCTGCACACATTTTTCTTTGGGATTTTCGAGACTGATTTCTTACTGTCATACCAATGTCAGGCATACTGACCAATGTTGTTGTTGTGTGTTGGTTTAATGCAGGGTGTGCGGACACGGACCCATGTTGCGTGAACAAGCGCATCGTGACACGCCGGGATCACGTCTGCCGCGCCGCCACCAGCGACTGTGACGTGGCGGAGTACTGCGACGGCGAGACTGCCACATGTCCAGAGGACCTGACCGCGCGCAATGGCTGGCCATGCTCCAATAGTCAAGCATACTGCTGGAGTGGAGTTTGTCAATCACGAACTGGCCAGTGTCAGAGTGTCTGGAACGATATGGATCAAGGGTCAGCTCCTGAGGATTGCTTCACAATTATGAACATGGATGGTGACCGTATTGGTAACTGTGGTTTCAAATCATCCAATTCCACCCCAGGAACCTATGCAGCCTGTGCGGCTGGAGATTCCCTATGTGGTAGTTTGTTCTGCCTTCCAGTTGCTCGAAAGATTCAACCCAGTAGTGACGTTCTGGCCGAAACCATTCGCGTACCCGATGTTGGCAAGTGCAATGGTTTGTACGCGTCCCCGCCAAGAAGCCACGATGACCCATCGCTCGTGAAGGACGGAACACGCTGTGATGCCAGCGGCGCTAACAAGGACCTCGTGTGCCACAAGCAACGCTGCGTGGACAAGTCTCGAGTCACCAGCCAGTGTTCGGTCGATGCTGACAGCGGCAAAGAGTGTGGTGAAGTCGGTGTCTGTACAAATGCAACGACCTGCCTTTACCCACCCACACCTGGTAAGTTTTTTTGTTTTTGTTTTTCACTGAATACCATAGAACCATCAGATGCTGCACAGCGGGGCGGTGGCATATTGGATGGAAAAGTAACTCCTCCGACCAAAGGTCTCGGAATCATCGTTACTAAGTTACCGTCACAGTGCGTTTTCAATTCATTTTTAGTTTCTGTACGTCCAGTTGGCATATGGATGCGATGTGCTACAGATCTTGGCTCTCCAACTATTGCTGCTAAATGCCATCTACAAGCAACAAAATAGCCGTCCCGCCTTTTTGAGAGCTGCCTTACTGCGTGTGAGCAAAACTCTGTATCCTCCAACCAAAATTTTCATCGGCTCACGCACTCAACGTAGAATGGTCATTCAAAGTCCTCAGATTCCTGAGGCTCAAGCTATTCTGACCTCTACTTTGCATGAGCCATGCAACCATGACCTACAGGGAACGTCCCCTTTCTTGGGCATGCTGTTCACAGACGTGCTCGCCTCGCATGCAATTTGTAAAAAAAATGGTCGTATCTGCGATTCGCTCTTTGGCGCTATTACCGTCCTCGATATCGGAACAGTCCCGGCCAAAAGCCATATGGTTGGTAGGTATCCTGACCACTCAGCTATGGATACGGTCACGTGTGCATATATGGATACGGTTAAGTGTGCATACACGGAATTCGCGAAACAACTTCGTAGCACATCCTGTGGTGCTGCGCTGTAGGACTGTTTGCCAGGATGGTTCATGTGCAGTGCGAGCACAGAAAAACCGGAAGTTGTGTGCGGATTGGATCGCGTTTTCCAGTTTGAATTTTCTTCACATCGCGGATGTTCGAGCTGGGGAGGTAGAAGAACAGAGGTTCGGATATTCAGGGGTTTTCAGTTTGACTATTCAGGGGTTTTCAGCCCTAACGCAAACCCAGATTTTGCAATTTCACGAGAGCTTTAAAAACTCAATACAGCTCCTGAAAAGAGTTTTTGAGTAATAATGATAAGGTGGCGAAGACATAACTTAATACCCGGAGAAATGGTGGTAGCTACTAGATACTAGCAAGAGTAGATAAACAAGAGTGTGCAACTCCGGATCTATCCTGCACAATCTGCAGATACCCCGCCGGAATTTTTTGCTGACGTCACCTTTTTTCAGAGACATGCGCATTTTGCCGCAGAGCAATGTGAGAGCACGTGCTGGGCACCGACCTTGTAGTGGAAGTCCGGCCATGAGCACGAGGGAAAACTTTCCGAAAGACTCGCAGCGCGTGCGTCGTCGAAAAGATTACGTCAACAAAATATTCCGCCGTGGGCCTACCCATCCGCGAGTTGCACTCTCTTGTTTATCTACTCTTGTTACTAGATACACGATGCACACAGACATCTACGAGTATATAGAGGTGTGTTTAAGGTGGCAAGCGGGCCAAGCTCGGCCGGGGACAACCTTCTGGCTGACTGCATGATAGGCAGGAGCACCGGTGACCTCAGAGGTGAGGAAATTCCTCTTTTTCGGGCCATCTGTACCGTAACTTGTAAGTGTTCTCCTCTCAAATATTACCCTGAGCACTATGAGTTCAGGAGAGCAATATGGAACAAAATAAGTGAAGATCTAAAGTCAAAATGTTGGTGGGTTTCCATAGTAATTTTTGAAATCAGATTTTGCGAAGCGGGGATGGTATGCTGTTGTCTGCTTTGCTGAGATGCTTGTGTGTGTCCTCTCTGTTTCTCCGCAACAGAGATCAACGAGTCGAGTACAGGATCCGCTAACACTACCCAGGCTGCTACACCCACGACCAGTGGAATAACCAAACCAACGAGCGACCCAGCCACAACCACTCCGACCGAAGTCGGTGATGAACAGTGGAGTGGTTTATAATTGTAACTAGATACTCATAAACCGGAGGGAATACTACCGACAGGACTAACCTGGTGCCCTTCCACTGACTTACCCACCCATCTTCCATGGCATCCACAATTCGGTCCAGGAAACTCGACAGAGCGTTTCCAGGACGTGAGGAGCCTGGCTAACCAAATGTGTTTCCAGTCCTGATAATTTCCTCCCATTGTAAATTTCAAATCTGCAATTTCAGATCAGTGAAAATCTGAGGCAGACTGATATCCCATAACCCGCTACGGCTGAGTAATTATGTCGTATTTTAATTAGTAATTATGCATCTATTATTTGCAAGATGATGAGGGCAATAATAGATTGATCCCGACATAGCATACCTTAACTGGTTTAGCTTTGTTGTTGTGTATTGTACTAGCACATAGTATATACATAAGTCGTCTACATTACTTCTCTATAAACAGATGTTTTCAGTTGTTACGTTTAATGTGTTCCCCAAGTTCTTTGACTGAGAATCTGGCAGTTTGCGTTCAAGTCGTTTGGCTTCAGATTTTTCTTCTTTCATTTCTAACTCTTGTTTCAAGTTGAGGAAAAAGTTCTAAATCCTTGGACTTAAGCTGTGTTCACAACTGGTGTGTGTGCGCGTGAAACCACGCGTTTGCGCGTATTTTTGCTGGCTTTTGGAGCGCCATGCGTACGGAAACGCGCCCAAATGGAAATTCCAGCATGTTGGAATTTGCAGCGCGTATCAGGTGCGTACCAGCAAGAGTACATAACCCCCCAGAGTGTGCAACGCCTGATCCAGCTCTGTGTAGGGTCTTGGTCGAGCGGAATCGGATCTTTGCGTCATAATACCGTACACATCTGAGGGGAACCCGGGGAGTCGCGGGTACTCTTGGATCAAAAACAATGGTGCCCTGCCTCGAGACCGGCCTTGCGCTGGTGTGAAGTGTACGCATGACATCAGAAGATCCGATTCCGCTCGACCAAGACCCTACAGACTTTTTCATGATTTTGCATGTTATCGTTTTCTCGGATTCCGGTTTTCCACTCTGTTATGTTCGAATCCATAGTCTGTTTAGTTTGTACACGATTTGTACGCAACTTCTCATTGTTTTTTTTTTGTTTTTGTTTTTTTTTACCAGGCGTGGGCCATCCCCTGATCATAGGTGCCAAAGACTACATTTCAGATCTAAAAAAAAAAAAAAAAAAAAAAAAAAAAAAAAAAAAAAAAACCAAGACCCTACACAGAGCTGGATCAGGCGTTGCACACTCTGGGGGGTTATTTAGAAAAGCGATCCTGTCAGCTTTTCTATTATTGTGTTCACATGGCAGAAAAAACGACACCGCTATGCTACGTAAGTTTCTACGTAAGGTGCTCGGTACTTCACTTAGGCTACGTAAGTTTCTACGTAAGGTGCTCGGTATTAGATCTACCAACGCTTGGTAGCCGCGTGCTGTGCACGTGCACGGCAGACATTGTGTTGCATGCAGTGCAGTCCGTTTTCGGATGTGCATGCGCGAGGAACTTCCTTCTTTGAAACTGCTTCTTGCATGAGCTGTTTCGGATACTTCGTGTCCTGGCTTATTTCGCTTCGGCTCTGCTCAGAACTCTTTTTACGGAATATTACTCAATGACATGTGAGTTGACCAGTTCCCTTTGATTCATTTGCTTGTGTTGACTCTTTCATTTACGAAAAGTGTGCTGATTTTAGGTGGAATACAATAAAATTAATAATGGAAAAGCTGACAGGATCTCTTTTCTATATTATTAACTTTTCTGCTGTCGAGGCCTCCTTTTACGGGATACTCAATGACAGGTGATCTCTGAATTGACCAGCTTCCTTCGATTCATTTGCTTATGCTCACCCTTTCATTTACGGAAACGTGTGCTGATGTTATTCGGATTTAGATCCATTCGTATCTCTTTGCCCTTGCCAACAGTGTGCGAAGAACGCGAGTTCACCTTCTTGACGGTAAGGCTTACATTGTGTAATGTTGCTGCTGAGGCTTAGATGTGTTGTCGAAATACTCATGTTCATTGTACATTGGTACGTTACAAGTAAGGCACTGGTCATGATTACTTCCGGCATTCCGTGCTCCGATCATATGGTAGAATCTGAATTTTGCAGTGGCATAGCATCGTTGGCAGTTCCCAATCTGGAGGGAAAGGTTCAAGGACGCATTGGCCGAGTACTAGTATGCAAAATAAATTCGCCTATCAGGGAAAATCTCCATTATGGAGAGGTTCATGCATTCAGTGGCTTGTTTGCTTCATACGAAACAAGCCAATGGGTGCAGTCTCGTCTCGTGAAAATCTCGTACGATGGGATTTGTTTACTCGAGTCTGGGCTGTTTGATTTGTGAGTTGCGCCGAGTTTGCACTGCCCCAAATAAAGTTGCGTGCCGGTAGAGCAAGAATTACGATCTGCAATCTGTTTGTAGTACCTGCAAGAATGTGCTGTACATGTGTCGTATTTTCTCTGTTGTTTCAGTTGCCGTCATGTTGCTAAAGAAAGGTTCAGTGACTCATTTCTTTCATAAAAGACGAGTCCATGGTTTGGTCTGGCTTCGAATCTTTCGCTGTAGAAGAAATCTATTCGTGTCTCTATTGGAGAAATAATTGTATTCACTCGTTATAAAATAGGGTTAAGACAAACTCACAGAGCAAATGCCATCGGTCCTTTGATGTTCGTCCTAAAGAGGTTTGACGGGATATCATTCATACTCCCCCAAAGTCGTGTAACATGTTATTATCATGGAGTGCCTTGTTTATCTCTCAGTACCGCCAACCATATATCCTTGCCCCTTATATCCTCAGGATCAGTGTAGTTGTTGGAACGAGGTGTCGGACTCAGCAATGTATTTGTTTACATTTTAATACATGTTTATTGTTCCTACTTTGCTGTGTTGGTTTAGACAATCCTGGACTTGTAACACTTTGAAGTCATTGAACTGCTTCCAAACGTTTTATCGGCATCAACAGGATAACCATTTCACTACAATATGATGCCGGATGACCTTATCACGACAACCCATGACTACAATTATAAACACAGAATCAACAAAAACATCTGCGGCACGCACCTTGTTACAATTCTCAAGTAAATTTGACTTCGGGTGTGGACACCTGAATTTTCTGAAAGACAAGACAATTTTATGACAGTCATGAATTTCTGCAACATCCACAGAATGACCTGCGTATAAAAAAAGTATCACCGCCACTACCCATATGATTCCCCTGCAGAAGAACATGAATACATGTATGCAAGACTAGTTCCATTTTCTGCAAGAAAAGGCTTGCACATCAATGCGTATACTACGGTATTGAATTTGATATGATACACGTACATAGGGGCTCCCGTAAGAAGACCATAGTGTGGGAAACACCCTACAGTCCGTTTCAAAAAGATTTGCAATCCTGGCGATCGCCCGCGGAGTTTGGCGTCTTACCGTATGAGCACTCGAGCGCTGCCTGGAAAAACTCACTGTGAACTCGAAGAAATATTCCGCGCGAAAGCAGGAAAAATGACAACTCACTCACGTTGATACAGTCATGTACGTCTGTCGTCTACGTCTGGTTTACAACAAACGAGTTCTTCCTCGTATCGATAATGGAGTCAGAGAGGACATGTCGAAACGAAAGTGTTGTAAATGTTGACGAGCGGCATGGGTCCCAATTCGTTTTGTGACCAAAATAGTTTCTTTGAGCTGCGATGCAATTTACTCACCGTGTGACGAAAACGACATCGACACGGACTCATTCCCAAGGCCATGACTTGGCAAAGCTATCCGTGTGACCAAGAGTACTCTTGGTGTGACTTCGACGACATCGTGAGAAAAGCAGACGCTTGTGAACGCTGATAGAAGATGGCGTTGACTGCTAAATTCAAATAAAAATTGGCGATCTTGAAATACTAGAATAAATCTCAAAAAGCTACAGCGCGATGACTTCCATATTCACTCACACCATTGCAGTGTTGTGGGTGTGTTCACATGGAGTGAGCCAGTCAAGTGTCAGTCGGTTCGGCAGGAAGCGCGAGCTCCAACAACAACAACAAGTCGTTTGGTGCAGCCATCTTCTTTGTGACGAAATTGTCTTGTACCAGCTTGATCACCAAAACAATGAAGAAAAAAAGTTTGATTTGAGGATAGGTTGGGATTTGAACTCACAACTTCATGGTCAGCAGACAGCATTCATAACCACAACGCCAAAAAGGAAGGGATAAATCGTGGGTTTTGATAAAAAATCGATACTGGCTTCCTGGGCAAATTGTAAACCATGGGAAAAGGCCGGAAACCTGGCCGAAATTCTAACTCCTTAACGGCTGATCCAATTGTTCCGAAACCTTCACAGAACAATTTACCGTGTCCTAACAAGCCATTCTATGTACTTTGTTGTCCAAATTTCCCTTATCTTCATACTTTTTAAGACCCAAACCTGATTGTAAATCTTTTTGAAACAGACTATAGTAAAATACAATAATAATAATAACATGTAGAGGCGCTACATGTAGGCCATCATTTATTTGGGCATTCCATTGGTAACACAATTATATCCTTTAGCCAAAAAAACAAAAGAAATTATAGCAATAAAAACTGCTTTATGGCAGTTTTCTAAAAACGTTATTGTGTTCTTGTCCATGGACCCCGTCTAAAAAGTAAGAAATTAACGAAATGTGATAGCCGAAAATTTAAATTTCACACAAAACCTCACAATAATCACACACAGAATGCGAGACGACCTTTTCCCCTCGTGGTCCTCTTTCATATGCATGTACATGTACTTGTACAAGTACAAGTGTCGGAATAAACAAGTGTTGCCGGAAAGCCGTACTATTAGATCTTCAAGTGTCGTGAATATTGTTAGGTTTTGTGTGAAATTTTAATTTTCGGCTATCACATTTCGTTAATTTCTTACTTTTTAGACGGGGTCCATGGACAAGAACACAATAACGTTTTTAGAAAACTGCCATAAAGCAGTTTTTATTGCTATAAAGTATAATGTACTCTTGGTACCAGCCTGCATGCCATTCACTTTGATTGGCGGGGTCAACAAATTAGTACTCGAAGGTGTCGCACCCGCTAAATACGACACAGATTGCTGTTTTTAACAAGGCTTAGCAAAAGTACATAGCCCCCCAGAGTGTTCAACGCCTAATCCAGCTCTGCATAGGGTCTTGGTCGAGCGTAATCGGATCTTTGTGTCATAAGACCGTACACATCTGAAGGGGGCCCAGGGAGCCTTCGGGGCTCGCGGATAAAAAACAACCCTACCCTGCTACGAGACCGGCCTTGCTGTTTGAGCCGGTGTGGAGCGTACTCTACGCATGACATCAGAAGATCAGGCTTTGCACACTCTGCGGTACTACTTACTCTGGGGGTTATGTTTTTTTTGTTTTGTTTTTTGATCAGGGGATGGCCCACGCCTGGTAAAAAAACAAAAACAAAAAAAACAATGAGAAGTTGCGTACAAATCGTGTACAGACTAAACAGACTATGGCTGTGTTTACATGAAGCGTTTCAACCCGGGTTGAGTTCGACCCGGGTCAGATTTCAACCCGCCATGTGCACAAAGTGAATGGCGCGTTTACATGACGCATTGCGCTTG